AAGTTTAAAGCGAAGTCCAAAGGATAAATATGTTAATTAAAAGAATTTTGCTAAATGACAAAGAAATAAAACAGTCCAGCAGTGTTTATTCTGTACCACCGAGTGACCCGATTCTTATATCGGCTGAAATAATCTAAATCATATTAAAGGTCATGTTTTTTTATACAATCTATAATGAAAGAGAAAAATTAGCTTCTTAAAACATTCTTTCTAAGAGGATTAATATAAAATTTTATATATATATATACATATTTTTAAAGCTGGGACTTGAACCTAACTGTCAAACTTTTAAAGTTTAGCTTACATGCTGGTTATAATTAAAGTTCCACTTTAAATTGGTCATGAAAGGAAAACTACCGGATCAAATGTTATCAAACTTGGGAATCGTGTAAAGGAGGTTATGGGAATTTATTTTCCACGGGGGGAAAAAAAAAAAAAAAAAGAGTTCAAAAACTCACCACCAGGGGAAAAATGACGCTGTATGTGATATTGTTATATGAAATAAGACATGAAAGCATGGGTTTAAAATGTGTTTAATCGTTTCTGAAACGTGTTACAAAGCATGTTCAATGTAGTGTCCAGCATTTTCCGAAAGCAAGTTAAATCCTGTTACTGCATTCTCAACAGCAGCTCTTAGCATATCAGGAGGAATGATACGGACATGTCGGTGTATCACATTTTTCATTTCAGCCAAATTGTTTAGATTATCACCATAAACAGTGCTTTTGAGATAACCCCATAGCTAAAAGTCACAGAGGTTGAGGTCTGGTGGGAAGAAGGGAAGTGTCGGCCTATAAGACGTTCATTCATGAAATGTTGCCTAAGTAACTGTGTGACACATGTGAGGTGGGGCCCAGCCCTGCATAAAATTGTAGTATCTAAAATGACACGTTACCGCAGTTCATGTATCACGAAACATTTTAACATTGACTCTAAGCGATCTGCAATCACAGTGGTCCAGCTGTCAACTGCTATTCAGAGAAAAATGGTTCAGTTATGAAACTAGCTGTCATTCCTCACCAAACGGTGTGTTTTAGAGTATTTACATGTATTTGAGAGTACACTACCATTACACTATGAAGGCATGCAGAAAAGAGGGAAAAATATTATATAGTACAGCTACTTATGGCAGCTATACAAGCCTGAACATAACTTGACATTGAATCAAGTAGCTCGCCTATGACCCTCTGCAGAAAATCATGCCATAATCTTTGCAACTGTTAGTAAATTCACTAATATTTTGGGCTGGCTGCAGTTGCCTTCCAAGCATGCCCTAAACTCACTCTATTGGAAAAAGGTCTGGTGACCTGGCAGGCCACATGGGAGTACATCATATCTTTGAAGGCATTTTTGGGAGAGTCGTACGGTATGTGGACGGCATTGTCTTGCTGATAAATGGCACTTGGATAACTTGATAGCACAGGCAGTACAACCGGTGTTAAAATGTAGTCCACATAACTGCGAGCTATCATAGTATCTTCAAGAATAATTAGAGGTAATCATGTGGCCCAACAAATCACTCTCCACTTTGTCACACTTTGTTTAATTGCCTTATGCCACTCAATAACAAATTAGCATCGATTTGACGCTGTTTGCCACCTTCCTGGCATCCAGTGGTATCAAGGGAAATCATTCAGGGATGACTGCCAATGCTGGTATATGCTGCCAAAGTCCATTAAGACACCCACCACTGACCCCACATCATAGGCGGTGTCGACTGGATTTTTGCTGAACTCAGGCAAGCTGGAGTGTGACTGACTGGAGGTGTGTGATCTTCAGCGATAAATCTCGATTCAGTCTCACTGCTGATGACCAATGCACACACGTGTGGAGGCAGCCAGGCCAGCAGTAGGTTCAAGAATTTGAGACTGAATCGGGATTCATCACTGTAGATCACATGCCTCCAGTTGGTCACACTCCAGCTTGCCCACGTTTGGCAAAAATCCAGTCGACACTGCCTATGATGTGGGGTCAGTGGCAGGTGTCTTAATGGACATCAGCTGCATATATCAGAATTGGCCATTTAACCCTGAATGGTTTCCCTTGATACCACCATATGCCAGGTGGCAAATAGTGTCGAATCGATGCCAGCGACCTTCCTGGTGTGGAAGTGGATACTGTTATGATTGTGCAATCCTTTCGCTCACTTGTGCTCCCGGGATGCCCTGACTCTCCACGATGGTAGACTATCCCTTCTGTATCCATTGTCACCAACACCGAGCAACTACCATATTGCTCTACATACCGAATAGCAGCCGATATGCTTGTTTGACCAACCAGCTTCTTCAAGAAGCCTAGTATAAGCCCCTTCTAAATGTCCAACAACTATTTGTACTGCTGCTGATTATGTCTCAGAGGCATCTCTAGACACAATATCATCCATCCAAGTCGACAGATTCAGTTAAATAGCCCTACAGCATCAGCAGTCATGCTTTTAATCTCTTTCAACTGTTCATTCTCTGTGTGCCTAGTACACTTACCCTTGTCTCATTGGCATCAAAATTTAAACCATTTACCAGACTACATTCCTGCCGAGTTTCGTGAATGTGGCTTAATTTGTTCTGGGTTCATATACTTTTTTGTGACAAAATTTATACTATACACAAAAAATGTAAGAAATTTAGAACCTAATTCACAAAGACAAGGGAAAATAAAAGTGTAATTTATATAAATATATATATTGCTGTGCACTTTTTCTTAAGTATACTTTTATTAACAGAGGACCTTCTCTATTCTAATTCGCCATGATAATTTTATTCTTTTCTATCATTTGTTCCTTTTGTGATAAGGTCGCATAAAGATACTTTGTCTACGATGAATGATTTCAAATTGCAATAGTTTATACAGTGCAATAGTTTCAGAGTGCAATATCCGTGATGAAATCCAGTGCCTTTGTTAATGATTCTGGTTGCAGCCTCGAAGGTCGCTCCAGTAGACAAAGAGTAAAAGAAATTATTTCCTCACTCGTACATAAGAAAGGGTTAGGAGATGGACCCTTTCTTATGTACAAGTGAAAAAATCATCCCTCCCCCTTTGGGAGTTCAGTGCAAGTAAACACAGGGAGATATATAAGGTGGTTTCCTGAGAAGAAAAATGACTTTTCCTGTTACAAGCGATGGGCATATTGGCCTGCTAAGAATGATCATTCCTCGTGTATAATGCGTTAGAGCATTTTTCCTGTAACAAAATTCTGAAATTACAGAACTAAATGTATCCAAGTCCAATATTGTCAAGATTTGCAACTGTTAAGGTTTTCATCTTATTAAAATTCATGTTACTGTTGGAACTTGAGTTTGAAGTTCATTTCAACCCTGTGTCAAAACCCAGGGTTTGCATAGCGGTTTTGGACACTACACCACACTTTCCTTACTTGCATTACTATAATGCTTTTTAAAATCTAAAAATACATAATTCACCTTTTGGGAGATTTCAAGCTTTTCATCACCAATTTGTTTTACCAATGGAGCCACACAAGCAACAATTAGCATTTACTCTTACCTTTTGGATTACTGTCTTTTGTTTCTTTGTTCTAACAGTGGTGAGTTAAAAAATTATGGTTCTCTGTTAATTATTATATATTTTGTAATTTACATTTTAATTTGAATTCTTATTTGAGTTTTAATATCAATATATGAATTGATTGAATTTTAATATCTAATTTTCTTCTATTTTTTGAGTTCGAATTTATTTCATATGGAAGTGTTTTTGTACATTTTTATTTCATATGAAAAGAGATCTGTTGCATCAGGGAAGCATTCAGAGTTTTTTGATGAGCTATTACAATTAAACTATTTAAGATGGTTCATCAGGTAATTGTGGAAGAACAGAAGTAGAATAGTTTTCCTGGAGGAGGGGGATCTGATCTACCTCCTCTTGATAACACTGAATCAGATTTTGATTGAATTCCTCTTCCTAGTTTTGTATTTTTATATGTTTCCATTACATTCAGAAATTCTTCTGGTTTGAAAACAATTAGTTGATGTTTATTATTGGGAAATTTAGGGATGTTACTGGTTTGGGTTTTATTTTTTCATGTTTTAATATGTTGTTGTTCATGTTTTATTAGGTTTTAAATTTTTTACTTTTTTTTCTATATCTGATTAATTTTTCAGCAGTATATTGTGCGGAATTAATACTGGGATACATATGTTTTTTGAAAAAAACTTGTGATACTGTTATATATATATATAAGTCACACACATAACTAGATTTATATAAATAGCAAAATAGAGTACACATATACAGAGATTTAGCTTTGCTTAAGTAAGCATAAAAGAAATGTTTAATGTATGTGTATTGGATGAAAGTATAAGTGTATGAAATATTGGAATGAAGTATAAGGAAACTATAGATATGTTAATCATGAAATAAAATACCACATAAAAATAAAACTCTGCTCCAAAAAATTCCTGAAAGATAAAAATAAACAAACATAAGCAATGGACAATAGAATTATATGTATGGCTCATCAGAGGTAGCATATGTGCAATTTTAATTTGTAATGATATCCAGAATACACTACTGATAGATATTGTAAATAAGACTAGAAAACATAATAAAATAAGCAACAAAATTTTAACTATTAAATATATATTAAAAGAATTATGCAGGATATTGAATATTAACAAAATAGTTAAAAAGTATACAAAACACAAAAAAATAAACACACACACAAAAAAAAAAGAGAATATTAAGTTTGGAAAATATGATACATGGATCCCAAAATTCATGAAAAGATTTAAAATGATACATTAAAGGTATTTCATTTCCACAGTAATTTCAATTTAATATAAAATCAAAATAAGAAAATGAATAAAAATCAAAACTCTTGATCCTAACATTCAAGGAAATAATATGTCATTTTTTTACACTAATGCTCATAAATGTCTGAATAACAAATAAAAATTATTATAAATTAATTTACCACTAAGTGTGAAAGCTATTGAAAAGGAAATTAATTTTAAAATTTCCTATTCTTAATTATATTTCAGATTGCTTACTTGATTGTTGAATCATCTTCCCATTCAGCTTTATTTGTTTCTCTACGGTTTCTGAAATACGAATTTGGTAAGTATGCCGTTTAAACTGTATTTATACCTTTTTTTAAGTAAAAAAAAAAAAAAAAAGCAGGTAAATTAATTAGGAATAACTTTTAAAGTGTTGTCCTCTAAATTTCAGTTAAAAACATAATGCAGTGTACAATATGCCAGTTTTTTTTAATGATATAACTCAATAGAGACTGAATAATATATTTTCTCATGCTTAAATTTATGTTCAATTACATCTGAAAGGAATGCATAACAATGAAACTGGGATATATAAGGTATTTCATTTGCAAAAGGTCAAGGTTTCTAATTCTTGATACTTAAATTAGTATTTAAGAAATATAAAGTATGGATGTAAACTTGCAATAACAATAGCACTAAGAAAATGAATCAGAAAGGATAAAATTAAGCAAAAAAAAAAAAAAAAAAAAAAATCAGTACACCAGAAGTACATAGAAGATGGGCAGAAAGTCACTTAATATTTACGAAAATTTGTTATTTCTGAAGATTCAAGATACCAGATTTTTTCCTCGCATATAATTTACAGTTTGCCATTACCTTTGCTTAAGTTTTAACTTAATGAATGATTCATCACTTACTAGATGGTATCTTAAATGGACAAGTATATGTTTTACAATTTTGATTGAGAATATGGCATATATTTTACATTCTCAGTGAAAAAATTAGATGGAATGACTATAGAATATCCAAGACATGTAATAAAATTTAGAAAAATTAAGAAATTGTTTTTGAATCCTTTTCAACTATTGAAAAGTGAAATTATGCATAAAAATATCTAAATATTTTTAAATGCCATTTCAGACAATATGTATGTCAGTTACAGAAAAGAAGTTATTAGCAACCATTTTCATAATCTTGGTAATATCTACCATAATTATAAAGCCATCGAGTTTGAAACTAAGGAACTTAGGAAGTGAATTGCAAACTTTGCAATATCATCTATGATAAAACAAAAGGAAGTCAAACACAGTATGATAAAACTTCAGTCTATCATTCCTGTAACAAATGTTTTCCTGCATATATGATTTGCAAATTTAGGTTTTGTATGAAGTCCTTTGCAAACAACATTATATATAATCTTGCATACATTGTTCACCAAACTATTGTTTTCCTGCATTAACCACTTGTAAATGACATTTTTATGTGGCATTTTCCCTGTGGATCATTTAGGAGAAAATATTTTAAGCCAAATGAAGTATTAATTATTTCTGTTACCCTCACTTAATCTGGTAACAAAGTAATGCAGTACTTGTAATACTTCACATATGGCTCTATACTCTACACAAGATTTAAATTCAGTCAGAGGCCACCCATGAGGGGCTCTGGTATTTTTTTTTTTTTTTTTGAGAGATATCGTAATTCCATTTGCCGTCCCAAAAAAAGTATCATATCAGTATTTTAATTTATCATTAAACTATTTTGTAAATTATTTAATTGTACTAATTTATCTCTGTACACTTTATTCAAATATTAATTATTACTTTATTTACTTATTTTTCTTGCATGGATACACATACATGGTTAACATGAAAAAATTTTTAAGTTAAAAAGAGATCTAACATGATGCTCAAATAGAAAATAGGCTTCTGAGTTCTAAAAGGAATAGCAATATAACAATAAGTAATTCAAAGTTTGCTGTGAATGATACATAAAGTGCCTTGAAAAAGATGAGTGGATTTTAATTGTTTTCAAAATTGGCATTTCTGATAATATGGTCTTACAAACATACTTTTTCTTTAAAAATATCTAGGGGGAAGGGGAAAATCACAGAGGGCTACCCACAATCATCTTTTGCACTTCAGACCATTTATTAATGTAAAACATACTAAAAAACTGAGTTAGGAATTTGAATTTTGTTCTTTATAGTGATGATTTATGACACATCTTTTTCAATGGAATAAGTAACAATTCTCAAGCAATAAAACAATATTTGCAATTTTATAAGCAAGTACTAACTCTTTAAACACCCTCTCAGAAGTTCCAAGAAGATTATATATATCTTAAAAAGGGAATGAGAGAATAAGTGCTAATGTATAGTCATATACTTAAATGCTATTTCTCCCACTTCCATTCCCAGTTAAAGCATTTCTCATAACACATCAGCATGTATTACATATCTTTGTCATAACAAACTGCCACC